CCAAACAAAGTTTACCCTTGCTAAGAGCTTCGCTGCTGCTGCCTCGGCTGTGAGGAATTCTGCATCTGCCAAAACAATGAAGCCCAACCCTGGTACAGTTCCTACACCACTGCTGCCAACTGTAATGCCAGTTACAGTGCAGCTTGGTTTGGCCACCCCACCTCTGAGGGCCAGGATCGAAACTGTCACGCCACCACTTAGGACAAGGGCAACCCCCACACAACCACCAACGGCAAGGCCTACCACTTTTTCTTCTTCTAAGATTCCAAAAAAGAAAACACCTAAACCTCCGACTCCAAAACCCACAATTTCTAATAGTCCTAAAAAGACAACGGAAAGGACCGACAACAAGAAAAAATCTACTCCATCAGCCACTCTCAGCACCAAACCTTTCAAAACAAAACCTGACTCAGCTCTGTCTACCCAAGATGCAGCCCCAAAGAAACCGCAGCCCACCACGGCCAAGAAAGCATCTCCAAGTCCTAAAGTCCTGTCATCAAAAGCCACTCCGACCAAACCCAAAGTAAATTCGGTCAATGCTGTTGCTTCTAAAACACAATTATCCAAAGTCAATCCCTCAAAATCAACAATCTCCAAAACAACATCTGCCAAAACATCCAAGCCAGTTGTCAAACAGTTCACGAAGCCCACAAAGCCAACAAGACAGGTCAAAACAACCAAAGCTCCCGTCACTCCAAGACCAACCAGACCTCTGTACAACACCGTCACTCCACCTGCCACTGATGGTTTCCTGAGCTGGGAGGTGCCTCCGACTCAGTTCTCTCTGCTCACCGGACCTGTTGGACAAAAAGGAGAAAGAGGCTTCGCGGTAAGCATCTTCTCAAACGGGATTTGTTGACTGTCCCTTAAGAATTTGAAACCAATGAAACATTGGTTCGTAGCAAGAGCAGTTATTTTGATTTTAAGTTGAAAACGACTAACATTTCTGATGTTTATATCTGAGACTGCTAAACAGACATGATAGATACTGTACTGTCTGTCACCTGTCAGACCTCCTCACAATTCACTTCAAAGAATTATTTAGAATTCTTATACGTTGAAGTGCCACTCCTCAGACAGTCTTCTTCTACTTCTTCTCCCTTTTACTTTTGTTCTTTTCCTCATCCTCCTTCTTATTTCCTTTCCTTCTTGCTCAGGCTACTTTCTTCTCTTTTAGAGAAAGGGAGATCCATTAAAAGAAATAGGTTTTAGCGACTGAAATATTCAAGTTCTTTAGTCTTTGTAAGTAGACTGAACTCGTCAGAGATTTAATTGTAATTCATGTGTTTAAGTTATATTTCCTTTTCCACACAGGTTAAAAACCCTTTCCTTTTCCTTAATTTCTACCTCAGTCCTCCAGACTGGGTGTGACGTGTCAGGTCTGACGCCTTGCCGTCTCTGCACCAGATTCCTTTTTCACAGAGGGCTGGTGAAGGTCACATGGGCCTCTTTCAAAGCTAGGTCAAGGGTCAAAGCAGTCAGTAAACACCATCAGTCAGCTTCCTGCAAGCGCAATTCTTAAGTATATAAGCGGAGGTAGACCTCTGTATTGCATGGCATTTTTTTAAAGCTTTGAGTTCACACTCAGCATCAGGAATCCCGGGCAGATTTAAAATGGTTAAGTCCAACTCCACCTGGCAGTGTGAACGTGTTTTCATCACTGCTGCTGCAGTTTGACATTTTCCTCTCTGTCTTTTGGTTCATGTTTCACATGTTTTAGCAGCAGCCTTGTAGTGTACAGTAGTCATTTTAGTGTAAATCAAAGTCCAGGCCGTTCGACAAAAGAACAGCTGTGGAATTAAACGTGTCATATCATGTAATGAAGGTTAGTTCATACGTAACTTCGACTGACCTGACCAGGCACCAGCACTACAGCACTGACAGCACGATTGGCTGCTTCGAAATGTTCTTTTTTTTTCTAGAATGAGATCTGTCCCTCTGCACACATGATTGTCGTTGACTATTTCTAATGTTTCGATGTGTGTGAGCCACTTATTTTGTATTAGATTTTAGACTGAAAACTACATTGGAACACATCTAAAAGCCTTGAAGGGAAGGAAAAAGGAGAGTAGGGATAAACAAACAGACAAGCGTAAATGAAGGCCTGGTGGTGTGAACCAGGACAGGAGTTTGTTTTGTTCACGGGTCTTTCTTGCTTCCACTGAGGGCACCACCTGTAATCGCTTGTAGGGGTGGTCTCCACCATGGAGGTCGTCCTAGAAAAGATGGCAGGGGGGCCAGGTCTAATCATAATAATGTAAACCAAATTGGAGGCAGTCATGAAAGGTCCCAGCTATAAATACAGTAACCTGTAGACACTTGTTGGTGTGTGTTTACACTGAATGGTTGCACTTGTTTTAAACCTTTTTAAGGCCTTGTCTTATTTTCCCAAAATTAAATACATAGTGAAAAAAAATAATGTGAAGAACGAGCTACATTTACACGCCAGTCACTGCCCACTGTAGTTACGTGTTGCTTTTTTTTTGCCACAGCCTCACATCAGTGTTATCGGAGGCATCGAGATTAACTGCCATTAACTGCCAGTAACAAAAAACTCTTCTGTAGAATAAAGACTGTAAGACCAGTTTACATTAGGATTCAGATCTTAAAAATGAGGGTCGCAGCCAACTCTCCACACACGCACACTGTTTTTCCTCACCTCTTTTTTGCCTCTTTTTTATGATTAAAAGAAAACTTAGGAGCTCATGGCTGATAAAGCCACAAAGAAGCCTTGAGCTGTGGAGGAAATGACCTGTTATGTCTAGTGGTCACGTGCTTTCCTGCCCTGCAGCCTCTGAACTTTCTGATGAATGAGACTGATCGACTTGACATTGACAAGATGGTACTTTAAGTCCTACTGTGGAGACTTGGATCCTCCAAGGACCTGATGATTTTGATAGATGAAATATATAATGCATTTGATCGGGTATAAAATGAGACCATCTGTGTGCTACATGTCAGAATGAAACTCTGAGAATATGCTCTCCTTCCCCCAGGGACTGCCAGGACCTCCAGGGAAGTCGGGGCTGCCAGGCAAGAGGGGCCCTCGTGTGAGTATCCTCACTTGCCCTCAAACACCTCCAGCCACATACTAACACCTGCACTTATATCCCATATAGATACGTGTATCTGTCATTTAACATGTAGGTTTTTTTTTTGTCTTTACATTTGTATTTGTCATTGTTTATGTTTTGTCTGCTGCTGCTGACGTATGAGGCTCAAAGCCCAAACACAAACAGTCTGTAATGACCAGCTCAGAGAAGCAGGCAGACAGATGGCGTTAGAGTCAACACTATGTGTGTGTGTGTGTGTGTGTGTGTGTGTGTGTGTGTGTGTGTTATGTGTAACTATCTACAATCTATCCAACTCTAAAGCAAAGCCCTGGACCTTTCTGCAGTTACAATTATAATCTGCCATGACAGGATGACAGGCCCCCACCTCACTGTGTGTCCCTCCCACCACCCAGCTGACACACACACACACACTTACACTTACTCAAGCACACACAGAGTTTTCCTATGCAGAAGGATGGACCATATTCGGCACAGGGCTGTGAGTGCTGACCTCCCACCCCTGAGCATAAACAGGAAAGCTCCTATAAAGACGGCCTTTCAAAAGGCTGCCTGTGCCACAGGATGCCTAATAAAAGCACTGTAAACAGAGAGGGAACACATGGCTCTGCTGAACTCTCCTCTGCTCTGTGAGCAGCAGCACACTGCACCGACACTTCATAGAATTCCCATTCTTCACTAATTAAAGGGTGCATCACTTCAGGTCAGTTATAGAGGCACAGTCTCATACCTTTGTAGGAATTCTTTATGTCTCAACATTATAGTGAGGAGCTGAAAGGTATTAAGGCCGCAGTTGACTGGTGATGGTTGTGTTCTGACACAACTGCTGCTTTTCATTTGCAGTTTTAGCTTAAAATGACTAATAATGTCAAACTGGTAGTTTTGAATAATTTAATGAAAAAATATATTACACACTGTAGGTTTAGAAGCACAGAGTGAGGCTGCATCCGTTACAAACCTCAGGTGTGTGTGTGTGTGTGTGTGTGTGTGTACAGCAGGCATATTCTTATGACAATAAAGTCAAGCCATATATTTACCCTAATAAAACACCACTAGCTTTTTAAAAAAGTGTATTCTATCCTACCACTCTGCTTTTTGCCACAATATCTAAAAATAAATATTATATAATAAACAACCCTGTAGGGGGCAGCCTACTGTATAATCCCTGTACAGCATATATTTTTAGCACTTTTATTTCCATCAAATACTGCACTGCATCTGGAAAAAGAACTAAACTTAAGATGAGGGATTTGTGTTCGAAACATAAAACCTTGATCTAAGACATCAAATTGTTTAGTTTGTTCAACAGACTAGCAAAAAAAGTTGGATGACTGGATTCTTCTGTCCACACTGTACCTGCACTCTGTATATGTTTAGTTGAATGTGTCTTTGTCTTATTAAGATTTTTTTTTATTATTGTTATTACCTACTGTTCTGTTCTGTGTTCCTGAACGTTGAACTAAAGTCCTTCTAAAGTCCTTCTCACGCCCCACATATCTAACACATGTTGACGGTGGCTCCATTGTCCTCCTTCTGGTCTGACTCTAATTAAAGCTATTTAAGTCCCGGCAGCAGCTCCTATTCCATCACTAGTACTAGTTTTTCAGCATAGCTCCGTCTGAGGTGGATTTTCCTGTGATCTAAATCAAACTGGAATAAACCCTTAGGACGGCTTTAGCACAATCAGAGGTGTGTAAACCTATAAGTATTCTTTTATGTAACCATGCAGCTGCTTGGATTAAAATAAGAGTCCTATTAACCCTGAACTATTTTCTCATTTCATTATTCATAACTAGCAAATAATTATTCAACTTAACCAGGTAGTAATCCATTCACAGCTAATTCACATAATGGATTTAAAGCTTAAACGTCAGCTCAGAGAGGGGCTTGGTTAAAACCATGTCTATGCTGCGCATTCATCAGTGGCGTGTTCCAACCATTCACCTCTACTGATCTGTGTTCTGGTGGTTTAGACGTGGACATTTATTTAAAATGAGCCTGATACAACTTTATTTTGTAACACGTTTCACATGCAATCACAGCAGCAGTGTCAGACAGTGACCTTGTGTACAAGCTACAGTATAAACACCAGCATGTAGCACGCATGCATGTATATGTTGGTGTTTATGACCTGCATAAACACCAGCATGTAGCACGCATGTATATGTTGGTGTTTATGACCTGCATGTACTGTATGGACTTAGATAAGGCTGTAAACAAACACACATACGAAGTTGAAATGGATCTGCAATCTGTGTGGGAGCAAACACCGAGCAAGGCGTATGTACATGCGCACATTTGGTTTCCATTTGGAAAAGGAAATTCACAACTTGGATTGCTGTCACGATCAACTCCAATAATGGATTTATGTTCTCAAGCTGTGGAGGCTGCAGGTTCACGGCTTGGTTTGAAGCCACGTCTTCTGTGTCCCAGTCAAAGGGTTTTGCTGAGGAGAGCAGGTATTTCTGCGTGACCTTCTGTAGCCTTGGATTACTGGAAGTCTGTATGATGACACACAGAGCACCATTGAGCCCAGCAGGCACCACCCATGAACCCTGACCTCTGACCCCCACACATATGAGTGTGAGACGCTGTCACCATGGCTACCTGTGTCTGTACAGAGGCCTCTGCTCATCAGGACCAAGTGTTTGGTGTCTGTATGCAGGTGTATGGCACAGACTGTGGTAAAAGGGCGTGAGAGGAAACATTTGGTTCGGATGTTGCTGCTGCACAATTCTGACTGACTGCACGTTTCCTCTGAACCTGTTGGTTCAAAAGAGTCTTTGTCTTTGGGTTGAAAGAAGTCACCTTTCATCAACGTCTTATCTTTGTCAACAGTTACAACTCCACAGTATTCAGAGCTCTCTGCATCATACGGTACTCGCCCCAGCCTGCACCACAAGGAGCCTGTAACCATTCAGTACTGCCTGCAGTCATCAAATCAAACTAATTTGGATCCCAGAGGGACTATATAGATACCTGGAAAAATAGGACTACATTAGAACTGAAGTTGAGTTCAAATGTTGAGATCAGGCTTCAGTCAGTTGTTGGTATCACCAGGCAGTGGATTCCCTTTTAAAAGGTCGTTCTGAATCCCAGAGAAACCTGTGTATTTGTGCCTTGCCCTCGGGACATTCCAGTAAAAGACTTCACAAAAGTGAAAACCAGAGACCATTATTGCATTCTCTAAATTGAACCGTTTTATAGACTTTTTTTAAATACCCGATTCCCAGTGTTTGGCATAGAGCTAGGGCTACATTTCCAATGTTATTCTAAAACTGGCCATGACCATTAAGAACTATTATACTATTATTGTTCCAAAATAATAAAAAAAAAATTGGATTACAAGTACTTTTTGTCGCATGTTGTATTTAACTAAAAAAACATTGCTACTCAAAGCAAATACATTTAAAAGTTTGGCTTTTTCCCAGCACAGCTGAATTCATTCTTCTCGTCTGCTTCTGGTATTATGAAGTTCAACTGCTTCATTCAGCGATGACAGGACACGCTATTTTGACTCCACTACTCTTTGGGATTGTGTTCCTGTGTATTTGCCTGTGCACTCGTCTACACTGTAACTGCTGTAGGAACGTCCAGGAGAGTCACACGCTCTCTTGATCTGGTGTTAGGAATGCAGACATTTCCCCTTCAGCTCTAATTTGGCCCAGCATCACACAGACTCTTTTATCATTGAAGCGGGGCCTGTACTGTATACACATTTGAACTGTTACAAGCCTGTGTTGAAGGTCGGACGATATTTACAGCACAACCCCATTTAAAAAAAAAAAAAAAAAAAAAAAAGGTCTAAAATATTCTCTGTGGGAACACAACCTTGAGAGTCACGTCATGCCCCCGGATTTAAGTTCCGTATGAGTTACACATATGGTGTGGATGGTTTTGTAGTCTCCAGCGCAGACATTTATAAACTTTAGAGGATGCAAAACACATGCAGTCGTACCTTTAACCATTAGGAAATGCCATTTGTTTAAATCTTGACCATTTGGTCTCAACTTAGATTGGGTAGAAAATGCACAAGGCTTGTAGTACTACGACCACAACAGCCACAGCAACGCCCAGCATTGATTTTCAGAGGTTGGCGGTTTTTCATTTGATAGCTCTCAGCTCGTGTGCGCCCCACCCTGGCCTTCTCTAATTAGACACCTGTTGTGACGGGAAGGGACACAACACGGAGGCAGGAGCTGTCTGTGGCAGCTTCTGTTACCAGTGTACTGCCCAAACTATGGTGAACCACAAGGTTAATTTTGAAGCATGTAATTCATACATGTCTAGTTTGTTTAGGTGTATTTAAGGCACAACATTTGCCATTTGACACTGTCTGGGCAGAGTTTTGCTCAAGGGAATGCCATTTGCGTACTCGCTAAAATTAAAAAGAAAAACAAGGGAGTGGGTGTGAGTTCTTGAAACTGTTAAGCTGAAAATAACAAATATTTTAATTAATTAAACATTGTCCCTTATGTGCTTATATCTAATGGAACCATTCCTGGCTTTTACAAATAAAAAATCAGCCTACTCTCCTGTCTCTATACAATTCACATTTCCTTTTTTTATCTTTTACTGTTGCTTTACATGATTGAACCCATCTACAACACCAGAATTAAAAAAAAAAGATCTGTAAGCAGGCAGCAAACTGCAACATTGCCTCTCTGTCCTGCACCACTTTCATGTACTTTTCTTCCACTCCCATTTCCCCCCCAACCACAGTACTACCACAGGTTGTTTTTAGTGTTCTATGAACTCTGCAATATCGGCACCTGTGTACTTCTACCTTTGTAGGCTTCCTGTTACTAGGTGGTTTGGGGTAAACATATTTACATTTAAATAAAAATGTTTACTCTTAAATCAATTGACAGAATTGGAATTGGAAACATCTGTATTTCGTACATTCATTTTTGGCAAAGACTTGTAAGTTCTACTTCCTCTCACTTCTTTTCATCAAATCATCAAACTTTTATTAAAGATACAGAACTGTTGGAACCGATGATTGATCGATGACTCCGTGGAAAGAGAGAAGACCACACACCTACTTGTTCCTTCATTAAAGCCGACTCAGACATGAATCAGACCTGAGTGTCGTCAAACAGACCTTGATATGAGAAGCAGAAACGGCAGAAGGCACTGATGTTGTCATGTCTGCACCTGACCACTGTGTCTGCTGTTGAGCTGATCAAAGGGCTTTTTGTTGAGCACTAAACCCCAGACTTTTTTTTCCACAATGCAATAATAGAGATCTGCCTTGTCTGGACGTCCAGAGTTGTTTTGTGACGTTAAGGACCAGATCACAGCCATAATGGCTTCCTGATTTCTTTTGACTCACCTCAGGGAAACTCGCTGACCCAGCTCTTAAAGCAGTTGTGGGTTTTTTTCCCCTCTCTCTGAGTCGTTTGACCCTTGACCCAGCGCTGAGGGGGCGGTAAGGGGCCCTAGGGTCCCAAAGCACGTGGAGGGCAGGGGTGAGGTCAGACACCCACAGTAAAAAGTCAGGAAAAGTAGAAAGCAGAAAGACGGAGAAAATATTTGAAAATTATGCCAAATCAGCCCGTTCGTGGTTTGGTCTCACGGCTGTTGCACACCTGTGGTTTGGTCTCACGGCGCACACCAAAAACAAAAATCAAAAATGATTCTTTCTCTGACTGTCAGTAGTTTTATACTAAACATCCCATGGGGCATTGCTGGACGAAGCCCTGTGGTTCGCGTTACCATATTCTGCTACTGTAGTTTTCACTTTGTTTGATTTCAAAGCCAGTTTGTGCGTCTGTGTTGTTTTTCTGGCAGTAACTGTTGAAGACAGAAATACACACCACTGGAGGAAATCAGATTGTTATGATACAGGGTATTCTTTATGTGTTTGTGTGTCTGTGTGTGTGTATTGAGTGGGGGGGGGGATTATTGTGAGGCAACAAGAGGCAGGAAAACCACATCCATATGGTAAAACTACTCCACAGAGCCCCATTTTCCATCAGCCTCTACCCATCTACCCCGACCCAAATACCTCAG